GCCAGTCCTACGAGAAAACCGCCTCTGGCTTGTCTTATTATATATTGCCAGTCCACGAGGAAACCGCCTCTGGCTTGTCTTATTCTTTATTGTAAGATACTTTTATTACGTCATATGCTTTATGTATATATATATATAATGTATATTATATGCTTCACATTATCTATATTTATATCAAAATATTTTTCTAAGAAATTGACATCATTTTGTATACTCTTTTTACAATAAATGTGTATGATATATGCCATATTTTTTATTTCTAAAGCATAAAATATAAAGATATTTTTATTTTTTTGTGTCTATCATTTGTAAAAAAATTTTGATAAAAGAAACAACATTAATTTTGCGACTTGCAATAATCTGTTTCATTATATGCTTCTTTTAAATACTTACACTTAGCCTTATTCTATGTGATTAACTTGGTATTTAAAATACGTATCAAAATCGAAAATGTATTTCTATTACAGTAGAAACGAAACATTCTTGTCTTACAACAGAGAGAAATGGCAAAATATAATATTGTCTAAAGTACAATCCAATAAAACTGTTAAAATTGAACATTTTAAAAAACCACTGTGATTCATGAAAATCAGAATTATTATTTCAAAAATATAGATATATTTTCGACTGTGTGTTTTAAACTGCACTACACATTCAAAATTCACAGAATAAATTTATTTCTGCAAAGTTGTGTATAATGTCAGTGGAAAAGTGATTTATTTGTTATTACATATACATGATATTTTACCATTCCTTTCTGGTGTAAGACTACAATGTTTTTTTTCTACTGAACTAGAAATTAATTTTATATTTTGATGTGTATTTTAGATACCAAGGAAAACGCATAAAATAAGGCTAGTTGTAAGTATTTAAAAGAAGTATATATTGAAACAGATAATTGCAAGTCACAAAATTAATGTTTTTTTATCAAGATTTTTTTACAAATGATACATACAAGAAACTAAAAATACCTTTATATTTCATGCTTTATAAATAAGTTATATGACATATACATTTATTATAAAATATATACAATATACAAAATGATATTCATATAAATGATATACAATATACAAGATGATATAAAAAGTTAATTTTACATAGATACTTTGATGTGAATATACATAATATGGAGCACAGAATATACATAATATATACACATAAAGCACATGAATAAAAGTATTTTGTAGAAATTAGAATATGAATGTATGTAATTAAATAATATAAATGTTTGCAAAAATGTTGCAAAATTTATGTATAATACATACACTTTTTTATCCTTCAGAGTGCCTTCAACCCATTTTTTTCAGCCGGGTTTCGTAGCACATAACACAAACACACACACACGCACAACTAACACACACATAACTAACCTAAAAGATTCTGTATATGACAGATAGCACTGAGAACTGTATAGCGCCTCTATCCCAAAATCTCGGAACTAATCTATAGCTCTTTTTTACCTTATTCTTTCTATATTGCACACATGCTTTACATAAATCTGGAAAAGGGTGGCGTTTTGAAAATAAGTCTCTAAGCTCTTTTTTTGGTTTTCCATTATTGTTTCATACGCTCTTCTTCGGCACATGGTCTTGTTTTGCAGATTGAAGCAGTATAATTTTGATATAAAAGATATAATTCTTTGAGGTGACATTGTCGGTAAATTTTCAAAAAATTTTTTTATTTTTGGTTTAAATTTGACCAACTGCCGAAAGATTAGCATATGTACTTTATTTACACCAAAGGATTTGTAATTCTATTAAAGCAATAAAAAACGCCACCCTTTTTAGAAAATTGAAGTTTCGGTCGGTAACAATATGACTTCAGCATCCTCTTAACTAGAAGAAAGTATTTTCCAACAATTATTGTTATACAATTTCACAATCATGATTATTCCGAATGAGTATGCGCGAGATATTTTTCCATTCCAAGCTTCTTGTAATTAATGCGAGAGATTCCTGCATAAACAGAGCGCACTATTGCAGCGACACTCGAAACATCCTTGTCCATGGGCTATCTCATTTCACTGACCGACGAGAAAAATCAAACTGCTTATCACGCGCGAAACTTACCGAACTCGGTCGCGATCAGGTCGCTTCAGCAATTAATTTTCATTTTTATATCATTTTTTTTGTCACTCGTTAAATATCTCTCCAAGACAAATGTACTTGTCAAGAGATCTTAGAGTGGTGAAAAGTAGAAGAGACTTGTCGGTCTGTTTGTGAATTTCCAACAACGGAGGCGGTGCTCTGCTTAATTGACGAGCGTGTCGCCTATATTATACCGTAATTTGTACCAATTTAGCGGCCGCCCAAAATTAATATTAACGCGCGACGAGGTCTGTCCCCATGTAAGGATCGAGACGTTTCAGGAAGAAATCCGAAACCCCGGATGCATAATTCATCATACCGAGCCCATGCGATCATTACGGCGCGCCCTGACATCGTGATGTAAACACTCATAAATTGATGCAATCGGCGAGGGATGCACTCGCGGATGCAAAAAAGCGGGCGAGCAATATTCGCGAGCGACGATTTACGATGATGAGATGTCTTTCGCATCGCCGTCGAAATATCCGTGTAATAATTCTTCCCATAAAGGTAATCTCTTCAAAACAGATTGCTGCAGCCATTAATTTTTATTTGCTCCGATACTGTTCATCTTAAATATTTTCTTTTAGATAATTATAACTACAGAGGGGCATCAATCTTTCCGACAGATCTCCCGCGAACGGTTTAAAATTAAATTAGTTAATAGCCGTAATAAATTAATAATAGGGCTTACCTTTCGCGTTTTCTTTCTTTTGATGTTAATTCAGTAATTTTTTGGAGCAAAGTCGATGTGTTTCATTGATAAACGATGTTGTATATTTTAATATTTGAGGTGAAGGAGTCACTGTTTTGATGAAACACGCGTGATTTTTCAGCGATTATGCCTAATCACAGGATAGGAACGCGTATAATTCACCTCGCGTGCAGCTCGCTGGACGCGTGGAGCACGACTGAAGAACGCTCGGTGTTCGGCCAAACGGCGCTACAATGAGACGCGAACTTGTCAGCCGCCGTGTATAAGCGAAAGCAGAATTGTATTATTAATTCCGCCTTGGTGATAAATTGCAAATAAGAGACAGAAACAAAGGACAAAAAGATTTCTAATTAAAAAAATATCCGAATCAGGATTAGTAAATTTAAAAACTATGATCAAATAATTATTTCATTATTATGCAAATTATTTATTATTATTATAATTATAAAATAGTTTTTGATAAAGTTCTAATAATCGTTTAGATAAATACCTGATGTTGAATTGTTTTAATAATTAATGGATTAATTGAGTTTGATTTACATACAATTATTATTCAAGAAACTGAAATCTTTTTCATAAACATTTTTGCAATATATTAAAATATTTTCTAATTGTATTTATCACTGGATGACCGTGAGAAATTTAGCGCGTGAATTATAAATCTTTATATTTTTTATGGAGATTTCTAATTTTAATTCTCTTCGATCAAGCATTCCCGCCACGTAACGATATAACGTAACTGTTCGCTTCTCGTTCGCAGCGTGATGTGTCATCGATCGAACTCAGGGTTTACGGCGGTCGTTTGCGGCACTGTTAGAAGCGACTCAAATCATTTTGATAATCGTCTCTGCAACCCCCGTAATTACAGACTTTAATCTCTCAACGGGCCCAACGGTTGGCCTTTATCGCGACTCGATGCTTGCTGTGTCTTATATTACACAACACGCGTGCAGTGTTTATGCATCAGAGATGCCCGTTCGATACTTTTCCCGAAGGCTTTTCCCCCCTTCTCTCCGTTATGCGCGATTGTCAGGGGTTAGTCACCCTTATGTTTCCCGGGCATCAGATTACATCTCGTTCATTGCGGGGATGTCTGATGTAGGCGCCAGTGTTCTATGAATTTATGACGCATGCAAAAAATCGACGGATTCAATTCTATTACGAAATATAAGGTTAAGTTGCACGAAAAGTACATTAAGAATTAAAGATTTTTATAAATAACATATATTCTAAAAATTATATACAATAGTTCTAAATGTATATGGTCTATACATAATAAAAGCTAGAAAAAGTAGTAAAAAGTTTAATTTTATAATTAGAAAAATTATTACGTTGAAGAAATAGTCTGCTGTAATTTATCATTTGTCTTTTTTTTCAAAATTGCAGGACTAGTAACGTCCTGCGATTTTGAGTAAAGGTTAAATCAAAAATGACAACCAGAAGAAATAAAAACGCTGAATTAATAGATAAAACGCCCTCGATAATCGGTTAATATATTTTTTATATTAAAATTATTTACAGAGAATATATCAGTATCAGTACAATTATTAAAATAAATAATGAGAAAAATATAAATTTAATGGTATTTGACAGATCATTCAGCTCAAATGTCTCAAGAGAATTTTGTCACGGAATTTCTAAAGCATTGTGAGGAAAATAATGTGGAGCCGCTACCTCGATTTGTAGTAAACTTTTATAAATAATTTTATATTATAATTATATGTGTGTCTTTTGATGTCACTTATGCTTAAGTATTATACTTTTGCAGATAAAGAATGGTATAGAAGAATTTGCAACATTGGAACCAGAAAAGTAATTACCTTAATTATAAATAAAAAATTTTATGCTTAAAAATTTACGATTTATTATTTATTAAGGGAATTAAAGAAAGATGTTCCTGTCTTTCACGTTTCTTTCGAAAATCCTAAAAGAATGGAGAACGCACAGAAATTGGAATGTAAAGATAAGCTATGAAATTATATTAGCACTTTGCTCTATTATTTAATTTTAGTTATAAAAATATTTACATTATATATATTTGTGTAATATTTTTTATATTGCACGACAGGAAGTATCGATTTGCATTCTGGATGCACTGAATATCACATTGGAGAAATATAACACCATTACAGTGCTCAAGTAAGAAAGATCCAAATATGAGTTACTGAATACATACACAATAATTAACAATTACACTCTCTCAGATTGCCCAATTGTCAAATAAACGCTTACGGCGTTCTGCAGATAGCACATATGATGTCGGAATTCGGATGTATTTTGGATGTAAATCTAGATAACAATCCGAATGTGCAAGAGAATTATTATTTACTTTGCGCACCGACCAGAAAGTATGTTAGAAATTCAGCGCAATTGCGTTCCACTTAATTTGCAATTTAATTTGCGAAAAATTTTTATTCTCCAGTTTATGTTATTTGTCTTTGAAGATGTGTAAATTATCCGACAACGGTATGCAAAAAATCGCAAACGAATTGAGATACTGGGATCCGCCGAATAATCCAAAATTGGTTGCGCTTAATATTGCGGGAAACGATATTACGGACATCGGTGCCAAATATATCGCTGCAATGCTTCGCACTAATCGGTTATGTACTTGTTAAACTTACTTTGTAGAATTCTAATTTTAATTTTTTTCTGCTCGAAAGTAGTTTTAATAAAATATAATATAACTGTCTATCTGCTGATATTTGTAGATCTCTGCAAAGCGTTGTGCTAACCGCAAATAAAATACAAGACGAGGGAGCTTTGCTAATAATCCAGGAACTTTGCATGTACGTTTATTAATAATGAGGTAATTAAACTAGATAATCTTAATATATACTGCTATCTTTAACGTCACGCGATAGGTCCGCTTTGACCCATGAAGAAATCGTTGACCTTCGACGCCGCAGATTTATCGAGCTGGAGAGTAAGGTTGATAAATTATCACGCTGTAATGTTATATTGTCCAGTAATGAATGAGAGATTGTAATTGCAGCTGGACAATCAGCAAACTCAAGAAATTTTTATCACAGAGCGAACTAACAGAAATGAAACGTTGCAGAATCAAAACTCAACTCAGTCTTTTGAAAAAAGTATGTTTAATATTTATCAAATTGTTTGAACGATTATTTTATGCTAGTCTTCAAAATATAGCGAATCAATATGATTCAAAGATGAAAGTTCAAACTGACTCGCCGATATCAGACAGTACCATCCAAGTAATTTTATCAGTACACTATTTTTGTTACACTATATCTTCGGAATTATTATTTTGTTAAGCTGAAATAAAAGATGTGTAAAGATTTCAGAAAAATCCTTAGACAGCGATGTTAGTCATCCGTTTATGAGAGAAACTGTGGCGATAAATGGCTGCGTGATGACAAGCGGAAATTTAAAATTGCAACATTTGAGCTTAAGTTGTACGATTTTATTTTGTTATGAATTATTTTTGAATTACTTTTTGCCGGTTGAATTTCGATACGTGTACTTACAATATATTTATGCTCAGTCAATCGTTTGACGAATAAAACGTTGAAAAAGTTGGTATCGTGTCTATACTATCAGAATTACATGCTGTTAGATGATTCTGCAAGAGGCTTGCTGTATGTATTTTTGGAGGTAATCTTTATTTATGTATTAAATATTCACATAATAAATATTTATAAATAAATATTCAAATTTTCAATATAAATATTCAATATTTTAGTCTCTCCTTTTCAACTCTTTTTCTCTTTGCTATCAGGACAATGACATTCAAAAGGATGAAGACTGGTCGACATTCCAAGAGCTTCTGCGTCGCAGGCGACAAGATAATCAAAAAATTCCAGACGAGGACTTCAAGGATCTCGTGCCGGTGGAGAGCGAAGCTTTGCGAAACAAAATCAACGTAATGATTAGCTATAAGTTTGCAGGAAAATATTTTTTTTATTTACCTATTAATTATTTCATTTTCTCTGCAGAATCTTCGCATTTAGATTTTTGTGTTATTGTTCAATTGAGTTCATTGCCGTGCGGAATTGTGCGATCGGCGATGGTGCATTGCCTGGAAATCTTATTGGATGAAAATCTTATCTTATCGCGCAATGTGCGCACCACGCGATGCTCACTGTTCGAAACGCGTGCTCTCTGTACCAGCGCATTGCATTGTCACTTTCGGTCGTTGCACTTCATAGAAATGTTGCTGCACGTTGCCGCCGTAGTACTCGTTAACATCGCTATTATAGAACTGGACACCATGTACTCCATTCCGCCGGGGAAGATCCTGAATCCCTCACTGAAGGTAATGAATGAACTTTATCGACGCTTTGTTATAAAGTTATATCAGCAACACTGCCAATTTGTCGCAAGAAATTTTGTTTCGTAAGTTTATATTGTAATAAATTGAAACAATTAAAATTAACCTTAATATTAAATAAATAATAATCGCAGTATTATCTCGCGTTACATTTTCGTGTTTATTCGAAGTTTGCGTGTGCGAAAATATATATATAAATGAAATAAGCAAAAATATAGAAAATAAACAGAGTGTGAACAAAGTATATGAATAGAATTGAAGGATAGAATGTGAAAAATATAAAACATGAGAAATAAAATGTGAAAAAATACAATTCTAAATTTCATATTATTACGCATCTCTTCGGCTAAGGTCTAAATAATCGCGCCAGCTGACAGTACTGACATCTAACGTTAACATTCTGCTATTCAGTTGCGTATAAAGTTACCGTGCACTGTCAAGTTCTACGTCTACATCGTGCTCCATTCATTCCATCATTCGCTGTTCTTACATTGTATCTTGAGTGACTTCTCGCGTTCCCCGTGCGTACTTGAGGGAAGTTTGCGCCATTTTCTCGCGGCATTCCATTCTATTTAAAGTGTCATTCCGTAACATACGAAGCTAATATATTTAGCCTTCTGTGATCACCACTTTTAGATAATGCGTTGCATAAAGTCTGTAGATAAATTACGATAATATCCGATCGCGATGTCATTGGCTGTAAGTCACGTGTAAAGTAATCCGCAACCTTCGACCATGTACGAAAACCTTTTCAAGAGCCCACTGCACCGGGTGTTCGTGTATGGCACACTAAAACGAGGCGAACCAAACCACGGTCTCATTAAGGATGCCGCGAACGGTTACGCCAAGTTCCTGGGCCTTGGCAGAACGACGATCTCGTATCCTCTGGTGATTGCTACGAAATACAATATCCCGTTCCTGCTGAAGAAACCCGGCAGCGGCAATGTAAGCTGAGGGAATTAAAAAGTTTAAAAGATTAAAAATTGAAAATTTTAAGCCAATTAATGTTGATTTTTCAATCTTTCTAATTTGTTTGTAGATTTAATTCTCTTAAGATTAATCCTTTATTTATAATATTACTTTAATTTTAATAAAATTGGTAAAGAACATGTTTTCGATAAATAGCATGTACTTGGAGAAATATACGATGTGGATTCTAAAATGCTAACGAGATTGGATGAATTGGAAGAACATCCTACGTTTTATGAGCGAACCGAGGAAGAACTCTTATTAGCTCCGGAAACAACGCTCAAGCCTGGGAAAACTTTCGAAGAGGTAATTTAACGCATTCATATTAAATATTATGTATTGATAATTATATTAAATATTATTCCCTAGATTTTTAAATATTCAATAACATTTTTTGCATTTAGTTTAATATTTGAAATTTGATATTTTTTTTCCAACAAATTTTCTCAGGTTGGCGAATTGACAAAAGCCTGGATATACTTCCTGCCGAAGTACAAGCCTTCCTTGCTGGAGGGTTCTATGTACGCGTCTTACAGCAATAACGGAAGTCATGGACTCAAGTATTGCGAGAAGTATGTTCGCGATCCATCCTACAATCACAGAAAGGAGGTGCAATAAATTATTTCCGACGGTTTTGTTTCTTTACAGCGACGAGGACATGTCGAGCCTTGACGACGTTCTTTGAATATTAAATCTTGTACTCAATCTTGATGGATGGCAAATATTTTCTCTTGTGATGCTAATAATTCTTTTGAATGAATGATCGGAGAAAGTGACGATGCAAAAAACAAATGAGTGATTTATAAGATTGTCTGGTACACGATCGCGGTGCTCTTAAATTTTTAAGAAAGCATTATATTTTTGCATTTAAAATGTATTAAAATTAGATAAAAATAATTTATATATATATATATATATATATATCAGTTTCTTTTATATTGATCTATTGTATAATAATGTTATTAATTACTAATTTCTCTCTTTAATAAAAATTAATTAATGACGCAAATAGGATTTTGTAAATGAGGGAACGGAAGAAAGTGACACCAAAGTATCTTGTGATTGAGTTTTATTAAATATATACGCCACGTATATACGCTCGCACCCCACACTTTCGCGTACTCTCACTTCCTGTCATTCTATCGCTCGCTCTCATGTGTAACAGTAGCGATAAAATTATTGTATCTCAACTATTCTGTAACAAAGGGCAGGCTAGTCCGTGTCGCCGCGGCGACCAAAATCAATTCGAAACTATTCTCGAGAGGCACCGGTGTTGCGTTTCCGCCTGCTTGAATTCAATTTCTCCTGGCGTTACAATGCGTTGTTTATCCGAAGTCCCGTGTGTTTACGGCGCAGATTGCGCTCCCAGAAAGACGATCGGCCCGCATGCGTGCGAGTAATCCGAGCGCTACGCTTCTCTTTGCTTCGGGAATCGGTATGATCGATGATGTACAGTACGGCAAATCAAAAATGCTCAGAGGCAGTACATACGAGTTATCCTAAGAAATTTATTTATAAATAATCACATTTTATCACACGCTATACAAGAATTATTATTATTATTATCTACCGTTTCCGTATGGCATTCTCTTCATTGTGCCCCGAAAACAACACGCGTTTTCCCGCCGGGAAGAATTTGCCAACAATGAGAAACCGTTTCTGAAGAAACGGATTTGATATCTATGCGCTGCACTCTTCGTCTCGAGAAAGAAACTCTTACATCAACAAAAAGTATATAATCGTTAAGAAAGTCGTACATAGGATTTTCTTTACTCAACACGAGTGCATGCAGATATATCTCTCATTAGATTGTATAGACTACGTACATTTGTCTCGCGACAACGTTCGTCGCGTTTCACATTCATGTTTATTATTCTTTTGCCCAAAGAAATAACGATGATTGAAATCGACGAGCGTGTATAACGAAAATCCTATGTAAGTCTTTGCATTATTAGTAGATGTTAATAGTATATACATATATATCTTAATTAATTTACCTAGAAATTTCCCTTCGTTGACGCACGTTGCCATTTTGAGCGAAGCGACACTCTCCCTCGAAAGTGGAGATAGAGAGAGCCCAAGAAGCATCTCGTAACCATTTGAAAGTGGTTTGAGAATAGTTCTCATGGAACTGCTAAGATTAATTATATAATTTTTCGATATTGCGGTGTTGACACACCGATCTCGAGGGTTTATCGTGTTCGGATGCCAACGCGATCTGTCCTATCTATACCGATAATACTCAATGAGAAGGCATCGATCGTGGCAGTAAGTATGCACGCTAAACCAAACGTAGCACCGTATAAAAAAAAAGTGTGAATACCACATAAAATACTTTAACGAACAATCTTTTTAGACTACAATTCGCCTAATGATGCGCCTATTCGCGTCGACAACGTCATTCCAATTCACCATTCGGAGGATTTCACTCAGCGTCGAAACGCTTGGCATCCTTCTGCCGCCCTGACACTCTTCTGGAAGTAGCATACTATACACTATGCTGATTACAAAATGAAATATAAAACTTGACTTCCAACCACGTGTTTACACGATATGAAAATAAGCTTGCATACATGCACGATATTCATTTTGAGTTACATGGTCCATGGGCGCACGTGCAGATACCTAGATTCGACGATCCACCGCGCGATCACTGTAAAACCGTCGATGAGAACCGGAATTAGCATCCCCGAACTTTGCAGAACGGGGGGGGCGTGTGTACGTGCATACGCATACTATGATACACGTTGGATCCTAGTCTAGAAAATAGATTTTCCCGGCGCAGCTGGGCCACGAAACGGAGAGCGGCGACGATGTGATATTGATTGCATGTCGTTTGATTTGATCGGGATAGGTGTTTTCAGCTTTGATCTTGCGACAGAGCGCCATATTTGTTACCCAGAGAAAGCTTGGGCGCTTGAGCTTGCGAGTCCTGTACATTATACGATCTGCTGCCACCGCGGTTGCGAACTTCCTCGAATACTCCTTCATCTCGCCGCCTGTAATTAAAAATATCCATATATTCGCTAAAGTATATTTTATATAAAAAATGCTGGAATATTATCACATATATTATTAATCAAGTCATATATATTCATATATATTATCGTATATTATTATTAATTAAATCATTAATTAAATTCATATATATATATTTGCTGTATTTTACCGTCTTCCCCATGGACTACTGCCGTTATTATTTGGCTGAGGCTTGGAATTCAGGGTGGGGAAGTATTCTTCGCTATGTATATCAGGCGCGACATTCCTGCCTCGCAGTCGTGGACTAGGGAAAGCAGGTTGATTTCTTAAATGCGGTGCTTTGTAACTTCCACCTCCACCACCACCACCGCCGCCGCCGCCGCCGCCGCCGCCGCCGCCGCCGCCACCACCACCACCACCGCCGCTGGTTCCGGTATTTCCACCGGTAGACGGTGGTGGTGCCGGCGGCGCCGTTACTTCTGGTGCTTCCGGTGGGAGATCTGGCTTCTTCCATGGTCCCGAATGTTTTGTGCCACCTTCTCCAGATTCTCCGTCTGAACTATTCTCACCAGTGCCTCTCTCATCGTCAGATTCAGCATCGAGACTGTCGTTTACTGTCAAATGTCCAATCTTCAAACCACTGTAATCCTTCTTCTCTTCCTCAAATTCCTTCCACTCATCCTCATCCTAAAAATAAAGCATTTATTATAATATTCAAGTCACAAGTCACAATACTCATATTTTGCTTTTCGATTTGCTTTTATAAATTTGTTAAATTCTTTTCACATGGAATAATTCTCGTACACGATAAAATACGTTAATTAGTACATACATTTACAATTCACAAAACTAATAATTTAAGGTAGTATTTTAATCACAAAAAAATCACAAAAATTTAAAACATACATTGATCATGTCACTTTCCACGTGTTGTATCAAATGTAACAATTATAAAAAAATCACAAAAACGATCTAAAAAATGAGATACATTATGTCGAGAAAAAATCCGAGAACACGTGGAAATAGCTGGTCGCGACGCACGGGCTGTCCCGTGTGATCGGCGATTATATAAGGCGCGTCCGAACGCACGAGGTACGCAGCGCATCATCTCCGTCGGCTACTCCACGCGATTCTATGACGTGCACGAGAACAAACATGGCAGCGTCGTGGCGCGGGCACGGATTCTCGAATTCCCACGGGAAGAACGCATCGAAATCTCGTTCTCGTCTCACCTCGGTCTGCTGAGACTCTTCGCCCTCGGGATTCGCTGGTTTCTCCTTCGGCTTGGGCTTCTCAAGTCGCTTGCCCTCTTCCAGCTTCTTGGCGACCTCATCAGTCGTGGTGAACTTCTTGCCCTTAGCCTTCTTACGATCCTTTTTAGCAAAGAAATCATCTAGGTCCGCCATGGCGACGCAACAGAATCCGAAGTAACACGAATAACCGCAAGATCTTTAACGTGCGTGATAAAAGTAGCGCACCAAAAACACGCTGATCACGAACTGACTAAGATACTCGCTGCAATCGTCCACATGGGCTTGTCTCCACCGGAAGTCAGCAGCGTCAACGCGCGAGTCAAGTGCGCGACTCGACGCTTGTGAGAAAACAGCGTCGTGCGAATAAAATTCGGAATTGCTCGAGAAATACTCGTCTTGCGGCATCAATAATATTTCACGCGGTTTCGACAATAACAGGCGCCTCGTCGATGACGATACGCGATTCTGAAGTTACGCGGGTTGCGCGAGTGGCGCTGATTATCTAGCAGAAGACTGTCGTACGAAAAGCACGAGAGACCCTTAACCTAAAAACGACGTGTCATGTTGCACATATGATAGATAATTGAGTGCATTTCTCAATGCGTTCGTAAGTTCTAAATGGAAGATTTGGTCGTATTGATCTGCTGAAAATACGGATTTTTATCGGACGCGTTGGAGTGATGAAAAAAAGTGTACCATAAGAAGCACGCGAGAACGAAGAGGTTAATTGTTTTCCAGTGTCATCACGAGAGTACTAGTTGGTATTGTTTATCACTTCCGGAATATGAATTGCCGAATGAAACAAAAGACACTTGTTCCGAAATGAATAATTAATACTGCATATTTTTAATAACAAATAAAATATGAAAGATATTTTATTTATATTTAGATATTACGTAAAATAATTGTGGTTTTCCTGCAACTTCCACAATAAAGTATTTCACATCAGTATGCATATGAATTTGTATTATTATATACAAAATATTACTTTTTATTTCAGATTTTAAATGGCTGTATTATAATTTAATAATTACTTTAATTGCACTTATTGAATCAATTTTCGCATTGCGAATGTGACAAAATTGCAATTAAGTACTTATATATGCCCATATGTGCTGCTGATTCGCACATTGGCAACACGCATGCGTGTCCCGGCGCGAGGTCTGCATATACTGCACCGCGTTTCGACGAGTTCTCAGCACTCGTTGACGCGATTCTGCCGTGCTCGACGTCTGGCGTTGTTTTATTCTCGTGGCTAGTGTTAGCTAGTCTGCTACTACGCGGGATTACTACTTTCCTATTACACGATCGCGACAGAAACAGCTACTCTGGAGGGCGGGTTTCCTCTTCGTTTTTACGTCGTGCAGCCGGGACCGGATTCGATCGAGTTTAATGTGTAACAATAACACGCTTGGAGATGAGGGTAACACGGAGCTGTTTGGGCAACATCACCAAGATGTTGGACTTTTATTCGCAATTCAATCCCTCGCCGCTTTCGATAAAACAGTTCATCGATTTCGGTAAGTCCTCCTCGCACTCTCTTCATGTATTGGTGAGCGTGAAAGGCGCTCCAGCTGCCTCTAACGCGTCGCTGCATCTAGTGTTTTATGTATCGTCTCGATTTATATTCCGACGTGCGGCGTACGGCGTATGTGCCGTCCGTCATCGCTTCCACTCGCTACGTCAATTAAGCACGATTGACAGAGAAACGGTCGAATTACGACCGACGTGATACGGTATAACTTTTACAGCGGTACTATATATGTCTCACAATCAGTATTGGTTATTTCAGTATTATTTAATCCTTCGACAATAGCTTTATAGAAAGATTATTTATCCTCAAAAGAATCTTTTTATATTTCCTATAAAAATTTCTATATTCTCCATTAAAAACCATAGAATATCATATATGTATATTATTTCACAATAATGACACATATATTTTTCATAGTTTCAATTTATAATACGCTTTGTAATAGGCAACCAAAAGATAATATTGATATAAAAGCGTTACATTATTTACATTTTATCTAATTCTTTCAACAATTTGTAAAAATAATTTTTTGAAAAATATTTTTTATTAATTCCACGTGATTCTTTAAAAGTTACAAGATATATTATTGTTACATACTTATTTACTGTAACTTATAATTAAAATATGATAAAAAATTCATTTTATATTAATATCAAAGTAATTTTTGAAATTACAAGAATGCTATGTGTCATTGAAAGTCAAACTATTAAAAAAATTTGTAATAATGAAAAATACTAAGAAATGTTACGAATTTACATTCAACATATGGATTACTATTTAAATACGTATGTCGTGTATGTAAACACAGACGCTTAATGATTATAATTTTTGCATTTAACAGAATCGTGATATCTCTGCATTTGGTGTTGCAATAACATTATAATCTTGCGTGATGTAACATTGTATAAACATTAATTAAACATACAAATTAATGCATACATTCGTTGGAGTAATGAGATTAAATATATAGAAAGAAATATTGAATGTTTAATATATTTTTATAATACGGTTATGATATTAATGTAATATGATTCATGAGCATAAAGTAGAAAATTAATATAATTTTACTTTTTATTTTATCTTCAATCCAATATTCAAATCTAGAAGTATAAAATTCGTCAGAAATATAAAATGTTTTTTATTTATTTCATAATTTCCATTATAAAATATTATGACTTTGATTTCTAACAATATTTATTCTCTAATATTATTGATTTGATTTTTTTTTTAATCCAGCGTCCTTGGAGCTTTATATGAGCCTCATGTTTCATGTGCTTGATCCGTCACTGTATTTAACAATGGCGACGTTATTATACTAGACTGTTTTTATGATACACACGTATGGCGTATGTGCGAACGCGACGAGAAATTCGTGATGTTTTAAACACGCGTGATTTCGTAATTGGTTCTCATTTCTCTCGTAGGAAGTTGTCCCTTTCTCCCCTTCTTTTTATTTTTATAAAGAGAAACGTCGAATGTGTTTCGCTACGGTGTTTCTCCAAAAGTAGGCCTTCTCATTGAGTTATGCTATGTGCTCATCGATAAGAAGTGATAATAAATACATATATGATATAATCGCGGCACACATAAGCAAACATAAATCTCTACCGCAAAACATGCAATAACATTTACATACAATTCATGTTTGTCATTTAAATTTAGTTTTATCATCAAAAAGGATATTGTTTCTATCATAAATATTTTTATGCGAAGGCAAGACTGAAATGACAGATAAACAATTAGCATATAAACAATAATAAAATTCTGAGAAGAATTGGTTTAAAAATTTTAATCTTTATATTTTTCAAAGAAGGGGTAAAAAATATTAAAAGCTATAATTTTTGAGGAATAATTTTTTAACAGTAAAATGAAACGCACTGAACGAAACGTGCTGAAAAAGAAACGTCGTTTTAGAGCTTGGAAATGTGAGATACACGGGTGAGATCATTCACCTGCGATTTCTTGATTTCAATGCATAAATACGTCGTGTGTTTTGTCTAACAGCTGTTTTTTTTTCAACATGTCACTAGTCATCACGGATGAATTTCACAGACGTGTTTAAAGTAATCTTGTGCTTTAGACTAGAGTTCATCTTAATGCACTTCATAGAAGTGCATATTGTTACACATTCGCGGTCTATTGATCTCATAATCAGACATGATCTATGGAATATTGATTGAGAGGCGCGATATACAATATATATATGTCAATTGAAAATGGATTATTTATTATTATATGATGACTTAGAATTGTGATTAATATAGTGAGGCAATTTACGGCAATTTAAAAATTTATTTTGCAAAATATTTAAGTTATTGTATGGGAAATTCTATAAAATGTGTGTGTAAAATTTCAAGAACAGATTTTTCAATGAAAACATAAGGAGTATCTATATTTTTAATTTTAATTTCAATTGTTATTGCGAGTATATTGAATTTTCTTCGTAATTTATCGGCGAGCAATTATGCGAATGTAACATCCTGTCTCACCTTCGGCAACAAATTTCCATTGTCGTTTCCTTTGTACGCAATCTTTGTGCGCAGTAATATACTATGAAAAGTACATCGAAAGACTTTTTGGACGTGCATTAGAAGATCCAATTAATTTCAACGCGAGTGACGAATCAAAGTTTTATACCGAAATACTCCGCTATGCAAACATTTGGGGGAAGGATTAATGTCGAATTCCGTTGCAAACCATATATACGGGAAAATAGAATTCTTGTTTCAAGGGACAAATGAAGGACACGCGTCCTTCATTTCGCACTGGGTCAAGGACGCAAATATATCACGCATGTGGAGAAAGCTGCATTCGCTGGTTTTAGTCACTGTCATTATCTCCTACGGAAGTTTTACAACGAAAATAGAATAACTACACGTATGCGTGGTATCATTCCATCTTGGAACGTTGCCCATAACTTGGCAAGGTTTGGTGATACGAAAAGCAATCCGGTAAAAATTTGTCAACCCGCGGATGGTGTCGTATTTAAAATTATACATCCACATCTGTCTGACGCACATTCGCGTTTCGCCCAAAATATTTACGTCATGTTACTGTGTACTTTGTACCGTTAACATCGGTACTTTCAAGTATTTTTAAGATATATACCAGGAGTGTAAGTTAAAGTTTGCCGGTTTTTACAGTAGGTGTTGCTAGCAGGATGTAGGCATTTCTATGATTTGTTATATACACGATTGTTTTCTATTGACATTAACCTCCAAAAACACTTAAGTCTCATTCTGTCAAAATAATAGCGTCATAGTCGTTTAAATCAATGAATATGTCGAGTTTCGTTCCAAATAAAGAGCATTTGCGGCATTCGTTGCTTTTCTTATTTCATCAAAAGAAAAAAGCAGCTGAAGCACATCGTTTGCTAGTAGAAACTTATGGTGAACATGCTTCAATGATTAGAACATGTGAGACATGGTTTCGTCAATTTAAAAGTGGAGATTTCGATTTGAAAGACAATGAACATCCTGGTGCAGTGAAAAGGTTTGAAGACGAGGATTTGCAGGTGTTGTTGGATGAAGACCCAACCCAATCACAACAAATATTGGCAGAAAAACTTAATGTGTCCGAGTAGCAATTTGCCAACGTTTAAAAGCCATGGGAAAAATTCAGAAGTATGGAAAATGGGTGCCACACGCATTGAACGACAGGCAAATGGAACATCGAAAAACCATTTGTGAAATGCTGCTTCAACGGTTCGAAAGGAAGTCTTTTTTGCATCGGATTGTCACGGGTGACGAGAAGTGGATTTTTTTTTAGAACCCGAAGCGAAAAAGATCATGGCTTTCACCTGGTGAAGCCGCTCCATCCACAGCAAAGCCCAATCGCTTTGGCCGTAAGACAATGCTCTGTGTTTGGTGGGACCAGGATGGTGTGGTGTACCACGACCTATTAAAACCTGGTGAAACGGTAAATACGGATCGCTACCGACAACAAATGATCAATTTGAATCATGCGTTGATCGTTAAACGACCGGAATGGGCCCGAAGACATGGCAAAGTTATTTTGCAACATGACAACGCACCGTCTCATACCGCTAGATCCGTGAAGGACACATTAAAAGCACTTAATTGGGAAATATTATCGCATCCGCCGTACTCTCCAGACCTCGCCCCGTCCGACTTCCACCTTTTCGCATCGATGGGGCACTCACTTGCAGAGCAGCACTTCGTCAATTTTGAAGAAGTTGAAAAATGGCTTGTCGAATGGTTTTCCTCGAAAGAGAAAAAATTTTTTTGGAATGGTATCCATAATTTGCCTGAAAGATGGACGAAATGTGTAGAATCAAATGGTCAATACTTTGAATAAAAAATATTTTGAGATTCCCTTGAAAATTATGTGTTTTTTTTAACGAAAAAACCGGCAAACTTCAACTTACACTCCTGGTATATACATCAGACAACCAATAAAGTTCATGCGGTTTTACTAATAATAAACTTCGCGAAAAATCGTACGAACTTTGTCCATTTCGATATATAATGAAAATTCAGATTCGTACACTTTTTCTTCGCAACTTTATAATAAATTCTAAAAATTCAAATTGTGAATAAGAATTCTGGTTGTGCTGAGAAAGTAAACAGTTGAGAATATAATTCAAATAAAATTTAAAAGAAAAATGAAAAATTTACTCTGTTTGTGAACGTTATCAACTATTAGAACGTATAATTTGTGATATGCGAATGAAAGAGCACTAATTGCTCATTTATTATCTTATTCGCGGAATATATATTTGTGTGGTACATATTCTATTTACGTATCGCACATTGGCGGATTATACTTTTATTATGCATTTTTATCATGTAGCAAGGCAGAAGATTATCAATATCGCGCTGCGCGCGTTATCACCACGTGTTAGTTCGTGATGATGACTTTTCTTTTACCGCACTACTGCGTTCTTAACAAATAACAAGTCAAATTGAATGTTATATTTCTGTCGTGGTTCGATGGGATTTAACGTATCATAACAGCACGAACGAA